CTTCTCCCTTGCTAGATGGAGAAATTCCATGATTAATGTTAACAGTGTTCACCAGACTATTGAGGGAAAAATACTCTGATCATTCAGTTGTACAAATAATGCATCACAATTTTTTATACAACCAATTAGAAGTAATAGAAAATAAATAATTATAATTTGTAAAGGGCAAATGTTTTTATTTCATGAATAATTTTATTCCAAAACTTTGAAAAGGAGGAAAAGCTTGAACTTTGAGGTTGTTTTGTTAATAGATGACAGGCTTTTTATCAGACCTTTAAAAGGAGATATTCCAGACAAATGTATTCTGAATAGAAGAGAAAATTTCAATGATGAGAAAAGGTAATGACTCTTACTATGGGCATTTAATAGCTTGATCAGCATGCTGGAAGGTAGAACTTTTATACGAGCTCTTAGAATTAAAAATTTTTTTTATCTGCCTAGATCCCTCCCAACCTGTTCTCCACGACAGTGACTGTAGGTTAAGACAGTTTTGGAAATACCATGGTTAGCTGAAAAACAGGAAAAGAGATGAAGCAATAAAACTGCAAAAGTATAGATCTCAGGAAGACACAGATGGACCTGCTTTTCTAATGCTGAAATCCCTTTATGAAGCATTTGCCCTCTTCCTGCTTGCAATTCTTGCTTTATAGTTGTTATGTGGCCTGATTACCCATGTAAGGGAAAGGCTTCCTCTGTCATTCAGATTTCACTTGGTGCTCGGCAGTGAAAAATACAACTCTTTTATCTGTAAAAATCAAATATGACACAGAAAGAAGTAAAAAATTATATACTTAAGGCAATCTAGAAAAAGTAAAGGAAAGTACCTTGAGCATATGGATATTCTAAAAATTTAATTCATAGGATGATCTAAAATTTTAATTTGTCCAAAAACCCAAACAAATATAAAAGAAAAACAATTGTTTAGTGATCTAATTTTGGAGATAAGAAATAAGCCATATTTAAATTGTTTTTGGTAGTTTGAAAGGAGTACAGGCAGTACAATCAGATAAATTTTTTTAGTTGGTTGATTGTTAGATTTTGTTATAGTTAAATAATCTCTTCCGAACTGGAGAAAGTGGAACAGGTTGGTTACAAGAACAGGAATGGGATTCAATCAAACTTGCAGGCATCTGGGTTACTATTTATGAGGGAATAGTTCAGAGCAATTAAACAAAAACACCTTTACTTAAGACTTGTGATAATTAACTGAAAAAGTTCAGATAAGGTGCTTAGCACAATTCCTGAAATAATTACCCACCAAATAGTAATTTTTTAAAAAATATTTGACTGTTGACATTTCTACTTAATTTGGAAAGTTTAGCTCTTTGTCATTCATATTAGTGTTGAGGATATAAAAGTAGGGATTAGGTAACAGTGTATACATTATTCTTTACTTGTAAATACTCCTTAATACTAATACTACTTTTTGAGTGGGTAGATGCTTCAGTAATATATGGTTTTCATCATGAGAATTATACGTATGTATCTCCCTAAAAATCTCAAATGAGGAAATTTTGAATGTAGTGTGTACACTAAAGTACCGTGGATTTATTAGTAACATTTGGCTTGTTTTTAAATTTGGTCTGTGGTGCTACTGACACTCTTTGATGTCACCTGAGGCCAATCTTTAGTAGAAACACTTTTTCTTTTTCTTTCTTTCTTTTTTATTTTGAGATATAATGAAGACAGATGCAAAATATATTTGAGGAAATGTCCTCACAAAGTTATTTTTTTGAACAAGTGAAGTGCATACCAGGAAATTAATATGTCAATTATCATAAGTGGGGAACTTGGTTCAATGTTCAGTATTTCATTTGGTAAACAGTCAAGTATTTGGAACATTTGTCCTCTGTCAGTTGTTGTGTATGGACAATGATTTTAATATAATAGATTCATTTTTGATATTTTAAACGTTTCAGTTTGTACAATTATTTGATGAGATTACATTATGAACCGTTTTGCTCTTATGGAATCAATTACTTAAAAAATTAAACTCTGCATTCAGACATTAAATTACTTTGACTTCTAGTTGTTGCTTTCTTAGTACAGAACATGGTAACTTCTAGATGGGAAAACCAAACTTACATTTTCTCATCTAAAAATGAATTAAATTTCTTCTCTCTTCCTCATCCTCTTTCTCTGTGACTATTTTTCATTTAGAAATGGTTTTGGCAAATTTTGTCTCAAATTATGGGATTTTTTTTTTTTTTTTT